CCCATCTCCATCCCCCTCTCCCTCCTCCTCCCCATCCCATCCCATCCCATCCCATTCCATCCCATCTCCCCCTCCATCCCATCTCCATCTCCATCTCCATCTCCATCTCCATCTCCATCTCCATCTCCATCCCCATCATCTCATCCCCATCATCTCCATCATTCCCATCTCCATCCCCATCTCCATCTTTATGCCCATCTCCCCATGTCCCCCATCATCCTCATCATCCCCACCCCACATCTCCATCCATCATCTCCATCATCTCCATCATTCCCATCTCCCATCCAATCCCCATCTCCATCCCCATCCCCATCTCTATCTCCATCCCCAACTCCATCTCCATCCTATCCCCATCTCCACCCCAACTCCATCTCGATCCATCTTCATCCCCATCCCCATCTCCATCCCATCCCACCCCCATCCTCATCCCCATCTCCATCTCCATCTCCATCTCCATCTCCATCTCCATCATCTCATCCCCATCCCATCTCTATCATCTCCATCTCCAACCCATCTCCACCCCCATCTCCACCTCCACCTCCATTTCCATCTCCATCTCCATCTCCATCCCATCTCCACCTCCACCTCCACCTCCATTCCCTTAACCGCGTGTCCACCACCCAACCCCCCAAAAAAAGACCCAACCCAACCCCATGAGCACCTTCCCCTTCTCCTCGCTCATCAGGAGAAGCTCTTGCTCGCCCAACCACGACTCCACCTCGGCCACGTCGAAGTAGTACTGCTCCAGCTGGTAGGTGGCATCCAGGCTCTGCTGCCGCCGCTCCGCCTGCTCCTGCAGCTCCGCCCACATGGTCCCCAACCTCTCCAGAAGACGTCGGACGCCTTCGGCCTCGGGGCTCTTGATGGAGGCCACGGCGGCGGCGCGTTCCAGGACCTCGTCCACGCGAGGTTTGTGGACCTGGATCTCCCGCCGGAGGTTCTGGAGAAGGTTGGGTGGGGAGAAGGAGAGGAGGTGGGTGTGGGGAAGAAGGGTTGGGGGTCAACGGGGGTTGTCCCCACAGTGTCCCCCAGGTGGGGCCTGACCTGGTTCTTCTTGATGTACTGCTGGACCGTCTGAAGGTTGGTCCCGTGGTCCTTCAGGGTGGCCAAGGGCAAGCGGTCCTGGACCCACAGCTGTGGAACAGGCGGTGGGGTGGAGGTCAGAGGGGGCCCTGTCCCTGATGATGCCCCATCCCATCCCATCTCCATCTCCATCTCCATCTCCATCTCCACCTCCATCTCCATCTCCATCTCCATCTCCACCTCCATCCCATCTCCATCTCCATCCCCATCTCCATCTCCACCTCATCTCCATCTCCACCTCCACCTCCATCCCCATCCCCATCCCATCCCCATCTCCATCTCCATCTCCATCCCCATCCCCATCCCCATCTCCATCCCATCTCCATCTCCATCTCCATCCCATCCCATCCCATCTCAATTCCATCCCATCTCCATCCCATCCCATCCCATCCCATCCCATCCCATCCCCATCTCCATCTCCATCTCCATCTTCATCTCCATCCCATCCCATCCCATCCCATTCCATCCCATCTCCACCTCCATCCCATCTCCATCTCCATCTCCATCATCTCCATCTCCATCATCTCCATCTCCATCATCTCCATCTCCACCCCCATCTCCATCTCCATCCCATCCCCATCCCAGTCCATCCCAGTCCCATCCCCACGTACTCACCACCTCGTCTTCCAGCTCGTGGCTGACCTGATGGACCTCCTTGGAGGCCAGGAGGATTCTCCTCCTCTCCTTGAGGGGTTCGATGAGGCGGACGATGCGTGTCCCCACCGCGTTCTGCCGCTGTCCCACCTCCTGCCGCCCCCCGGCCTGGGGGGGCAGCGCCGCCGCCTGCACCTGCAGCTCCCCCACCTCCTTGTACCACTCCTCCACCTGCGACTCCATGGTCTGCGGGGACATCGGGGACACCGGGGTGGGGACACGGGGAGAGGACACCTCCCCGTGAGGTGGAGGTGAGGAACAGGGAGGTGGGGTGGTGGGGCTGGGCTCCCATCGCAACTGGGGCTGAGCTGGGAGCACTGGTGTCCCCCCAGCACCACATGGTGTCCCCCCATAACCTGAGGTCCCTCCAAGACCTGGTGTCCCCCCATAACCTGAGGTCCCTCCAAGACCTGGTGTCCCCCCATAACCTGAGGTCCCTCCAAGACCTGGGGTCCCTCCATAAGCTGGTGTCCTCCCATAACCCGAGGTCCCTCCATAACTTGGTGTCCCCCCATAACCTGAGGTCCCTCCAAGACCTGGGGTCCCTCCATAAGCTGGTGTCCTCCCATAACCCGAGGTCCCTCCATAACTTGGTGTCCCCCCATAACCTGAGGTCCCTCCAAGACCTGGGGTCCCTCCATAAGCTGGTGTCCTCCCATAACCCGAGGTCCCTCCATAACTTGGTGTCCCCCCATAACCTGAGGTCCCTCCAAGACCTGGGGTCCCTCCATAAGCTGGTGTCCTCCCATAACCCGAGGTCCCTCCATAACTTGGTGTCCCCCCATAACCTGAGGTCCCTCCAAGACCTGGGGTCCCTCCATAAGCTGGTGTCCTCCCATAACCCGAGGTCCCTCCATAACTTGGTGTCCCCCCATAACCTGAGGTCCCTCCAAGACCTGGGGTCCCTCCATAAGCTGGTGTCCTCCCATAACCCGAGGTCCCTCCATAACTTGGTGTCCCCCCATAACCTGAGGTCCCTCCAAGACCTGGGGTCCCTCCATAAGCTGGTGTCCTCCCATAACCCGAGGTCCCTCCATAACTTGGTGTCCCCCCATAACCTGAGGTCCCTCCAAGACCTGGGGTCCCTCCATAAGCTGGTGTCCTCCCATAACCCGAGGTCCCTCCATAACTTGGTGTCCCCCCATAACCTGAGGTCCCTCCAAGACCTGGGGTCCCTCCATAAGCTGGTGTCCTCCCATAACCCGAGGTCCCTCCATAACTTGGTGTCCCCCCATAACCTGAGGTCCCTCCAAGACCTGGGGTCCCTCCATAAGCTGGTGTCCTCCCATAACCCGAGGTCCCTCCATAACTTGGTGTCCCCCCATAACCTGGTGTCCCTCCAAGTCCTGGTGCACCCCCAACCCCTGGTGTCCCTCCATAACCTGGTGTCTCTCTGTAACCTGAGGTCCCCCCATAACCTGGTGTCCCCCCATAACCTGGTGTCCCCCCATAACCTGAGGTCCCTCCATAACCTGATGTCCCTCCAGGTCCTGGTGTACCCCCATAACCTGGTGTCCCTCCAAGACCTTGTGTCCCTCCATAGCCTGGTGTCCCCCCATAACCTGAGGTCCTCTCATGACCTGAGGTCCCTCCAAGACCTGGTGTCCCTCCAAGTCCTGGTGTACCCCCAACCCCTGGTGTCCCTCCATAACCTGGTGTCCCCCCATAACCTGAGGTCCCTCCATAACCTGGTGTCCCTCCAAGACCTGGTGTCCCCCCATAACCCAAGGTCCCTCCATAACCTGGTGTACCCCCAACCCCTGGTGTCCCTCCAAGTCCTGGTGTCCCTCCAAGACCTGGTGTCTCCCCATAACCTGAGGTCCCTCCATAACCTGGTGTCCCCCCAACCCCTGGTGTCCCTCCATAACCTACTGTCCCCCCATAACCTGAGGTCCCTCCATAACTTGGTGTCCCTCCAAGACCTGGTGTCCCCCCATAACCTGGTGTCCCTCCATAACCTGGTGTCCCCCCATAACCTGAGGTCCCCTCATGACCTGGTGTCCCCCCATAACCTCGTGTCCCCCCATAACCTGAGGTCCCTCCATAACCTGGTGTCCCTCCAAGTCCTGGTGTGCCCCCAACCCCTGGTGTCCCTCCATAACCTGGTGTCTCTCTGTAACCTGAGGTCCCCCCATAACCTGGTGTCCCCCCATAACCTGGTGTCCCCCCATAACCTGAGGTCCCCTCATAACCTGGTGTCCCTCCAAGACCTGGTGTCCCCCCATAACATGGTGTCCTTCCATAACCTGAGGTCCCTCCAAGACCTGGTGTCCCCCCAACCCCTGGTGTCCCTCCACAACCCGCTTCCCCTCCATAACCTGGTGCCCCCCAACACCCAAAGCCCCCCCAAAACCTTCTGTGTCCCGTCCCACCACCCCCCAAAAAGAACCCACCTGCAACCTCTTGAGCTGCCTGCTAACGCTGTGGAGGTCGGGTCCTGCCCCCACCGTCTCCAGCTGCTCCTCCAACCTCCCCAACCGGGCCTCCATGTCCGCGTAGCTCCTCGCCAAGCGTTCGGCGGCGGCGGCTTCGGCCAATCGCCGGCTCCGGGCTTGGCTGGTGGTCTCCAACTCCACCCAACATTGTCGAAGCTCTTCCAGTTGGCGCCGAACGGCGCCGCTTAATTCAGGTTTGGCCTGGAGAAGTTCTTCACCTTCCTGGGGTGGGGTTGGGTGGGTCAGGGGTGGTCAAGGCAGGGGGGTGTCCTCTCCCCTTCCTGGGAAATGGGGGTGCTGGGGGAAGGCTGTTGGCCAAGGGGGTGGTGGATCTCCATGAATGGGAGATATTCATGGGGTGGTGGATCTCCATGGGGTGATGGAGCTCCGTGAATGGTGGAGCTCCATGGGGGTGATGGAGCGCCATGGATGGTGGAGCTCCATGGGGGTGATGGATCTCCATGGGGTGATGGAGCTCCATGGGGTGATGGAGCTCCATGGGGGTGATGGAGCGCCATGGGGTGATGGATCTCCATAGGGATGATGGATCTCCATGGGGTGATGGAGCTCTGTGGATGGTGGAGCTCCATGGGGGTGATGGATCTCCATGGGGTAATGGATCTCCATGGGGTGATGGAGGTCCATGGATGGTGGAGCTCCATGGGGGTGATGGAGCGCCATGGGGTGGTGGATCTCCATGGGGTGATGGAGCTCCATGGGGTGATGGAGCTCCATAGGGGTGATGGATCTCCATGGGGTGATGGAGCTCCATGGGGGTGATGGATCTCCATAGGGGTGATGGATATCCATGGATGGTGGAGCTCCATGGGGGTGGTGGAGTGCCGTGGAGTGGTGGATCTCCATAGGGGTGATGGAGCTCCATGGGGTGGTGGAGCTCCATGGATGGTGGAGCTCCATGGGGGTGATGGAGCGCCATGGGGTGATGGATCTCCATAGGGGTGATGGATCTCCATGGGGTGATGGAGCTCCATGGATGGTGGAGCACCATGGGGGTGAGGGAGCGCCATGAGGGTGATGGATCTCCATGGGGTGGTGGATCTCCATGGGGTGATGGAGCTCCATGGATGGTGGATCTCCATAGGGGTGATGGATCTCCATGGGGTGATGGAGCTCCATGGGGGTGATGGATCTCCATAGGGGTGATGGATCTCCATGGGGTGATGGAGCTCTGTGGATGATGGAGGTCTGTGGATGGTAGAGCTCCATGGGGGTGATGGATCTCCATGGGGGTGATGGAGCTCCATGGGGTGATGGAGCTCCATGGATGGTGGAGTTCCATGGGGGTGATGGATCTCCATGGGGTGATGGAGCTCCATGGATGGTGGATCTCCATGGGGTGATGGAGCACCATGGGGGTGATGGAGCTCCATGGGGTGATGGAGCTCCATGGATGGTGGAGCTCCATAGGGGTGATGGATCTCCATGGGGTGATGGAGCTCCATGGATGGTGGAGGTCCATGGGGGTGATGGAGCACCATGGGGTGATGGATCTCCATGGGGTGATGGATCTCCATAGGGGTGATGGATCTCCATGGATGGTGGAGCTCCATGGGGGTGATGGAGGGTCATGGGGATGCTGGGTCTCCATGGGGTGGAGGAGGTCCATGGGATGGTGGAGCTCCATGGGGGTGATGGATCTCCATGGGGTGATGGATCTCCATGGGGCGATGGAGCTCCATGGAGTGATGGATCTCCATAGGGGTGATGGATATCCACGGGGTGATGGATCTCCATAGGGGTGATGGATCTCCAAGGGGTGATGGAGCTCTGTGGATGGTGGAGCTCCATGGGGGTGATGGAGCTCCATGGGGTGGTGGAGCTCCATGGATGGTGGAGCTCCATGGATGGTGGAGCTCCATGGGGGTGATGGAGCGCCATGGGGATTCTGGGTCTCCATGGGGTGGAGGAGGTCCATGGGATGGTGGGTCTCCATGGGGGTGATAGAGCACCATGGGGGTGGTGGGTCTACATGGGGTGGTGGAGCTCCATGGATTGTGGAGGTCCATGGGGGTGATGGAGCATAATGGGGGCGGTGCATCTGCATGGGGTGGAGGAGGTCCATGGGGTGGTGGCATTCAGTGGGGTGGAGGAGGTCCATGGGGGTGATGAAGCACCACGGGGGTGGTGGATCTCCATGGGGGTGGTGGGTCTCCATGTGTGGTGGAAATGCATGGGGTGGTGGAGCTCCATGGGGTTGGTGGAGATCGATGGGGCAGTGGAGGAGCTCCATGGGGTGGTGGGTCTCTATGGGTTGGTGGGTCTCCATGGGGTGGTGGAGGAGATCCATGGGG